TTGGTCGCCTAGATTTTTTTCTTGGCATTGAAGTCAAGTTTAACACTGATGGCTCACTCACCTTAACTCAAAGCAAATACATTCATGACCTCCTCAATCGCACCAACATGGAGAACTCCAATCCTATTTCTTCACCCATGGTCAGTGGGTGTAAACTCTCTAGAACAGGTTCCGAGAAATTCCTTGATGTGACCTTATACAGATCTGTTGTTGGTGCTTTGCAATATGCCACTATCACTCGCCCTGAAATTAGCTTCTCTGTCAACAAAGTTTGTCAATTCATGTCTAACCCCCTTGAACAACACTGGTCAGCTGTCAAACGCATTCTTAGGTACTTAAAAGGCACTATGTTCCTGGGGTTACATCTGCAACCAGCTCCTTCTAACTCTCCTTTGTCAATCCGTGCATACTGTGATGCTGATTGGGCCTCAGACCCTGATGACAGACGATCTACCTCTGGTGCCTCTATATTTGTTGGCCCCAATCTCATTTCTTGGTGGTCTAAGAAGCAAACGGTTGTTGCTCGCTCCAGTGCTGAAGCTGAATACCGAAGCCTTGCTCTTGCCACTGCTGAAGTTCTATGGATTCAAACTTTACTCTCTGAACTCCATGTCTCTCATCACACTCCTGTTGTTTATTGTGATAACATGAGCACGGTTGCCCTTGCCCACAATCCTGTCCTTCATGCTCGGACCAAGCATATGGAGCTAGATCTTTTCTTTGTTCGTGAAAAAGTTGCTGCTAATTCTCTTCATGTGGTTCATGTCCCAGCCATTGATCAATATGCAGACATTCTTACTAAAGCTCTATCTCCCTCTCGGTTTTGTGAGCTTCGGACCAAGCTCAAGTTGGTTGACTCTTCGCCTCAACCCACTTGATCTTGCGGGGGGATATTGGAGTATATCTTTACTCGTATTAGATATGTTATTGTATAGGGCTACTCTTTCAGTTAGTTATGTTCTGTATTTCTGTTTTTACCTTTTACCTGTTTAACAGGTTCTGTTTTTCTGTTTTTTATTTTTTACTTGTTCAACAGGTCATTGTTTCAATAGTCTTCCTTGAAGCTATTGAAACATATAAATAGGACAATTGTATTCTGATTTGTTACCTAAGAAATACAATTCAAATCTTTCTATCAATTCTGCTCTCTCTCTCTCTCTGTGTTTTCTTCCTCTTCTGTTTTCTGTTTTCCAGAATTGACATAATTCTAATAATTATTAGGTAACTGCAAAGCAGTTCTCCAAGAAGTATACAATATGTTTCCTTTAGAAAACTATTCTCGCCCTGCCTAGAATTAGATGATCTCACATTCCCCTCTTGTGTAAAATCTACTAAAACTTGCTCAACATTACAACAAATACACAATTAGAATAGATCCATTAAATCTTGGTCAAATGAGGTAATTACCCATGACTAACTAAGGGTTTGTTTGGTTCAAAGGAGGAGACAGATTTTAATGAAAGGGAGGGGAGCAGAAGGAAGGGGTTAAAAATTATGTTTGGTTAAGAGGAGGAGGAGGGGGGGGGGAATTTTAATGGAGAGAGGGAAGTAGCTTTTTTCTTGTTTGGTTTACAAAGAGAGAAAAGGGATCTTAAAAACTAATTTACCCCTGTACCCTTATAATTTTAAATTCAGAAACATAAATAAAGATATTTTAGACATTACACTCAAAAATGTTTTAAAACTCCTCCCATCCCCAGCATATCTCCCCAATGTTTTAAAATTGCTCTCCTCCTAAAAGTTGAACCAAACAACAAAAGTTTTAAAAAAAATCCCTCACATCCCCTGCCCTCCAACCAAGCACTATGTAAATTATCCAAATACCACTGCCAACATCATTCATGTTGGTCAAAAAAAAATTGATTTCCTCTTGATATAGCATCCATAATTTCAGATTTCAATTTTGCCAACAATTTTCTGAAAACAACATCATGAGAAATGCTAACAACACATCCTCTGACACTCTCCTTAATACATTCTCTCTTATATATTAAATAGAGTGTGAAACCTACCAATTTTCGTGTTTTCTAATAAATTCCAATCAATTAGAAATAGTGTGTTATTAACATTTCGCACGACATCAATTAAGCCTTGTCTCAATAGGTAGGGTTGGCTATGGGTTAATCAACATTCAACACACTATTAAATGTTATTAAAAATTAAAATTTTAGTAAAACCAATTAGAGCAAGGTATTTTTAGCAATTTCTCCTCTGATGTATTAGGATGGAAATTTTCACCTCCTCAGATGTTTATTTCTCATGGCAACTCTGTCAGCAGAGGCTCTAGAAAGTGCTTCTTTGGGGCTTGACACCAAATCCTCATCTAGGCTGAGCTTTGTCTTCAAATCATCTGGTAGGGCCTGTGGAACAGTTAGACAGAAAATGTGGAAACAGGAAAACATATTACCAGATGGTAAGCTGTCATACCATAACCTCATCCACAAGCTTTTCAATTTGAATTTGTTCAATGTAGGTACGAGGAATGTAGGAACCTTCTAGACCCAGCTGCTCTCCAATGTATTTTACAACTAATCGATCTCTTCCCTGTACCTGTGTATCAAAAAGTTCCGAAGTCCAAACAATTCAGGGACACAGATAATGTGTTGCCAACCAAAGAATAAAAGTACAAAACATTTAACCTGTCACTTCAAATGATAAACAAAACATTATACCAGAATCAACCCTTGTCAACATGGAAATAAAATTGAGGTCACGTATTAATTTAAACAATTTTTAAATTAAGATATGCATTTTCTTTGGAAGATCTTTCCATGTAAGGTAGGAAAAAAAAAGAAGAAACAACTAATTTGAGACCTATTTTTTCTTAAAGAAGTTTGCATCTCTTGAGCTTTAGGTTAAAAGTTTGAAACCAAACAGCTTGCCATAACAGTAATTACCACAATTGAGCAATAGATGGATATACGTACAAAAATGAAAATAAAATGTAAAAATTTATTGACCGCCATGAATTCCAACGATCAAGCTAGTTCAATGAGTGCAATAGAAACTTGTGATTGATAAATAGAAGTGAACATCCAAACAAGAAATCTGAAAAACAGGAATTTCAACAAATGTATCCCAATAAAGCATTTAATGGTAGTATGATAGTATTATAGACTAAATCTAGTATTACCTGAACATAATGTCTGTTAAGTTGCTCAAGCCAATCTAGTTTCACAAAAACCCGATCATCAGAAAAGACATGGCTGTTTCTCTTAAGGATAGTAGCTATTGTGTATCCCAAGGCCATTAGTCCACCAAGAAGGCGTACGCTGACCTCAAAAGTAATTCTTGGTGATATGACGAATGGATTATCTGTCACCCATTCCTGAAAAGTTATAAGACATCAATTTAGTTAACACCATGAAAAAAGTTATTCTCCATGAATCATGTATGGAAAATTGTAAAAAAAATATAATATGCAAAACACCAAAGATATGAGTTCTTAATAGCATATCGAGGCAACAAAAGTGTATTATGTGGCCCAAAAAAAAAAGAGGAGGTCAATAGCCAATAAATTATGAGCCTTTTAAATTCTAAACTACAAAATTAAAAAACAATCTTCAATTAGAAGCCCATGTAAGTATTTCTACTACTAACTTGCAGCTTAATAAAACCAAAATTGGAGAAACAACAGAATTGGAAATTTTATGCGTCAAAACAGATTTTAAACAACTTTCATTTATCAATATTCGTAGCAATATAGTGTGTTTCATGGTTATCCATATTGTTCAAATTGTGGAATGATTTGTGTGATATAAAACAATTCTTTGGCTTGTCAATACAATTCGTGTGTCGATTTGATTTTGTGCCTAAATCATACACAAATCTTTTGAATCGTGTGAACTGCTTCTCAGACATGAATTGTGCTACTCTTCTGCAACAGGTCACACCCCAAACAAGGCCAAATTGTGTACAACGCAGCTTTATAAAACTCAACAAAATGTCTCTTTTTCTTTCAAAAAATTCGATAAGACAAGGAATAGGCCAACAGTGTATATTGGTCTGCCTTCGCTTGCAGTCTTACCAGGCAATGAGCATCATTTTGACTTGCTTGCGGTAGTACCAGGTAACAGGCACCACAACTTTCTCACAGCCATACAAGGTAACAAGTTGCAAGAACAGATTGCATCTAACCCTCTTCATCGATATGTGTCGCAGTTGCATGTGCTTATCTAATGTGTTTTCATTTTCTTTAAGTTTGAGATCGAGTTATATCTTGATAAAGTTTCAAAATTATATATATATATATTATGGTTTTTATAAACTATATTGGTTTTTATAAATTTATAAAAGATTTAATTGCAGTGCATTGTCACTATAAAAAGATTTATACTGACAACCAATAAAAAATCTGATTCATATGACTTTTAAGGCAATTATTGTAAATGCTAAAATACTCATATATGATAGTTTGTGATTAGTGGATAGTGTAAAATTACTTTACACTGTCAATGCATAACCTTTTTTTCTCATTTATAAAATGTGTTTTTAAAAAAATATTTAATTATCCTTAAAACTTGAAATATATATTTTGTATACAAAGTATATTAAATATGCAAATAAACAGGCCTGATATATTTTAATATTTTATTTAATTCAAATTATGTTTTTTACTTTTAAAGTTTCTTTATGTTAAAAATGCTTAGATTTATTTTTTTTTGGTTATTCGTTAATTTGTGCTTTTATGCCTTTGTTAGTTGTATACATTATATTTTATTATTGATTACAATTCATGATACGATTCAATTCATGATTTAGAAAATGTCTTCTGATTCACAATTTGAATCCGGATTCTATTATCATGATATGTTTAGAAGAGGCAATCCCAATAAATGATTTTGTGCAAACTGTTTTGTACACAATAATCTAATGCACCCAAAGCTGTCCCAACAATTAAGTGAGGTCTAAAGAAAATTTTGACAGATTTTTTTTCTTTAAATAAGAAAAATAATTTGCCAGGTCTTTTTCTTAATAAATGAAACCTTTTTGTCAACATATGTGGCCTTTTTTCTTTTTAAAAACTAATAGCAAATTTATTTTTCTTAGTGGAACTAAAGCTGACTTTATCAGCCTTACCTTTGGATTGGCCCTGAAGGCACCTTTCTGGAATGTAACAGGAGAGGAGAAAAAAAGATAAACAAAACTCAGCAACAGGGTTTCAGGAAATGTTCATTGATACCCCTCTGTTCTAACCAAAAGTAACAGAATACACTCTTGAGGATGATTCAAGAACTCCTCACCTACTCTCCCTCCTCAATTTCTATTTATAGTAGTGTTCTACTCCCCTAAGAGCCTATAAACAATTCAATTAGTTGGTTGTTACAGATATTGTGAATATATTACAGATATTGTGGATACATATATTATGGTTATTATCCTCACTATCAATTAGGGATATGATTAGATTAGTTTCCATAATATAATAGATTAGTATCTCTATCATTTATTGTATTCACTCTATAAATAAGATTGGTGTGTGTACAACAATACACACAATTCCTGAATCACAACATGGTATCAGAGCTATTTAGATTCATTTTAAAAATGGGTCACCCACCATTGATGCATGCCTCATAGGCATGAGGGGGTGTATTGGGAAAAACCTAAGTCCTGCCAATCCTAGATCATTAAAAAGGACCACCCACCATTTATCCACGTACCAAGCCCAATAGTGCTGGACGTGAGAGGGTGTATTGGGAAAAATCCAAGTCCCACATCGACTAGAGATTAGACAATTGAATAGTATATAAGTGGAAAGCAACCCTCACCTTACAAGCCGGTTTTGTAGGGTTGAGTTAGGCTTAATCCACTATTCTAACTTGGTATCTAGAGCTTAGGTCTATTCCTTTAGATTTTTTTTTCTCTTTCTTCTTGCAGAGGCCTTCCCCCACCGCCGCCACCCGCCACCCGACCACCGCCCGCCGCCCGACCACCGCCGCCGTCGATCGCCAACCGCCGCCTGCCGATCGCCGCCCCCG